CTCTCTAAATAAATTAATCTGGGCTGAAAGAAAAGGGTTTTTTTTAACAGTGTTTACAATATCACTTTGTTCTTTTGACAGTGGTGACTATACATCATTTTTGAAATAAGGAAATTGTGCTGGAAACATCAGTACCCATAAAACATTTAGAAGGAAGTTAATCTATCAAAATTAAGTGTAAATAATTTAAAAATCCAACTCTGATATTTCAACTGTGTAAATATATTGAATCTGCAACACACTAGTGAACATGTCATTTTCAAGCACAGCTTTGATTATACAAAATGTAAATGAAGATATTTGAAGTACAAACCAGGGCAAGCAAGAGGAATATTTTACTCATAAAACTAACAATCGCAAAAACAACTGGTAAAGTAAACAGGAGGTGATGATCAGAAAAAGCAACTCCCAAATTTGCCAGCAGTTTCATACATGGTTTGATCAAATATTCAGATTTCTAAACACGTAACAGAGGGGAAGGGAAGTTCATTCCTTGCAAAATGAAATAAACTAGGACTCGAGTCACAGTAGCCTGATCTAGGCATTGCATCAAATTGTTTAAGGCTGAAAATCATGGTAGGGATAAGTCCCGCCACTGTCTTTTTTTGTCCAATAGGTCTCGGAGTGCTGTGTGCAAGGCACAGATCTTACTTTGGCACTTGACCATCTGCAGCTGCTTCACTCTAGCCCCTAGTGAGTTAGTGTCCATGAAGTCCATCTTAATGAAGTAGAGGAAAGAGTCTTCAGGAATATAAAAGATTCACCCTGCTTAGCATGGAGCTGTGTGCAATGTGAAATAGAGAGCAAATAGTGCATGCGCTGATACTTGAAAAGATCTGTGGTTTAAACAGTCCCGTCTAAGAGGCTGTGAACTGTGTTTGGAGCTGGCTCGGTGTGCTGAGCACTGCAGAGCACGGTCAGCTTGCTGCCGGTTGTTCCTATAATAAAAATGCTAAGGCCTTTTTACCTATTTATTTCTGCTTCCTTTGAGCTTTGGGTTTACTGGTATGCAAAAGGAAAAAAAAAAACAAGCATATGTTCAGTTGCTCAATCAACCTTTTCTCAATCCACACTCAGTGATCTCAGTGAGTCATTACGGCATAATTACAATTTGAGTGTGATACGCTGTTTGTAGAAAAGTATCTATTTTTAGCTGAAGAAACACTACAGTCCCTGAAAGGAGGAGAAAGAAAGGAAAAAAGGAAGGAAGAAAATCTGTAACCGGCAAATCAATGCTATTGTTAAGTGATATTACGAGACACCCTGTAGATTTACAATGCTTGCGTTCAGCCACATAAAAACCGCATTGAAAAGAATGCCTACCAGGGGTTAAATTCATATGCCTGTGCTGCAGCCTATTTCTGTCAACACTCAGCTCAGGAAATAAACATTTATGCTTTCTGAAATGAAAGTGTATTTTTGAAGACTAGCCGTCAGATATTTTTTGCCCTTCACACTTTCAAATGCTTAGCCTTTTTTGTAAGTTGACTGCAAAGTGCATCAGTTTGCTAGGCAAAAAGAGAAAAAAAAAAATCTTGACAAGTGCCCATGGCATCATTGTCAAGCACACGAGCGTCTAGTAGAAGATGGCAGGAGGGTTGGCACAAAACATGCTTCCTTCAAGCTTCTTACCTCAGGGGTACCTGACTCTTGAGAAGCCTTTCAATCCTTCCAAATGACGTTATTGGAAACTGTCATCTGGTTTATTTGGAGTGCGCTGTATCGCAGATAAACATGCTATTTAACTGCAGGTCAAGGTACAGAGTCAGTCTAGCAAATGCCTGAGATACATTAAATGGCATTGACTCGGGGAGGGAGATGGAGAGAGATCAAAGTTGTCACCAATGTGGTACATGCTAAGGGGGAAAAAGGTACACAACACTGTATTTTAAAAAGCCATTACACACTTCTACATTTAAAACATTGACCTGCAAAACTCTTAAGGATTAAGGACCCACACAATGCACAATGAAGTTCAAAACCAGCACGTAGCATCGCAGGGAGGTTTGGAAAGGGGTTACAGCTGTGACTGGGGAGGCTAAGACCAGTCCAGAAAGCTGGAAGTGTATTTTGTCTGATTTGGAGACTTTTTTTAAAGTGGTTGCATTTTAAAATAGAAAATGTCCACTTGTCACAGAACGTGGCTGATCTAGGGGATTCATATAACAAAAGCTCAGAGAATCAGAGCACAGTTTGGCATGAAATAAGTATAACCTCCTCCAAACAATTAAAAATAAAGCTCTGTGTGTAAGTACATATGCCTGTGTAATCTGTTCTTTTAACTGTGACTTGCTGAACAGCTATTAAGGGGGCACTGGTGTGATAGAAGAGACATGCTGCATGCTTTCACATTTTCTGAAAAATCAAAACAAAACAAAACCAGATTAATTACAACTTGATGCAGCTTTACATTCCCACGAGGGGTGCCTTTAAAAGTTAAAACACGCTTTCGCAGAGCAGGCTTTCAAGGGAAAGTTGCTTCAATCAGGAAGAAAATAATCATGTTTATTTGATTTATTGTTGGAGAGCAGAACAGTGTGGTTTATATTTGCCAGTTTTTCTGTAATGTAAAAAATTTCTTTTTTTATGTGTCATGTAAAAACAATTAGTATATTTACTGCACCAGACTGCAGATTTTTCAAGAGTGCAGTACAATAAATTATAGGCAACATCCCATTTTTCCCCCTCACAGGGCATATGTAATTTCCTTTGACTGTGGCACACAATAAATGTTGAAACATAGCATTATTTATTTTTTAAAAAACCGCAACAAACCTGTACTAAAATAGGTAAGTAAACAGAAGGAGGAAGTTGGGAGTTTTCAGAAAAAAACGAATAGTGAGAAACTGCAGGTTAAACTTTTTTTATTCAAAACTGATTTTATTGCTTTTTGCTTAATTAAACTCCTCAGAAGTGTGTGAAACATTGTTATACCTGAAAAATTGTTAATTTGTAAATCACAGGGACAAAAGGGCTCCACTGCAACTTTAAAGTTTCTATGCACGTAAATGTCAATAGAGTGCCTTCTCCATCATCAGCACTAAATTCACATTGATGCCTCTTTTCTTCTCTGTATTGATCCTTCCATGAGAACGTAGATTTGTATCTGTTAATTAATGCGTCCTGAAACAGCGTTTGTATTAATCAGGCAGATAAGAAAAATTGGATGCCTGCACCCTCATGACAACCGTAAAAGTGCTGGCCCTGATAAAATCGTGGATGGACCTCAATAAAAAAGTTCCTCCTTCCACTCAATAAACTAATCATCCTGCTTTTAATTATTCGGCAGAAAGATGTGTGGAGATTGGAGAATGTGTAAATCTATTTACTAACAGCAGTGTCTGGGAGGGAGAATGGGGCTGTCACAGGACGGTGCTGCAGGCTACGTTCTCTGTCCATCTGCTACTGCAGAAAAACTGGTTCTTGAAAGACGGGAAGGAACAGAAATGTTGAAGCTAATTGAAATCATGAATTCCTCCCTATAACCTTTCAAATGATTATTTCTTCTCCATTTCCCTCTTATTTATTTTAATCACAGATGTGTTATTTTCCATTGTCACCTCTTCAAGGGTTTCCTGTTGTTGTTGGCTCGGGTTTTGTTGGTTTTTTTGAAGGCAGAGAGCTACAGTTCTATCACAAGGCTAGAAAGACAGTAAGAGAAAATGAAAACAAATAAGGAGGGGGAGAAAAATGAGAGAGAGAGAGAGCGCGCATGCATGCAGCCAGTTTTATGTTTCATTTTTTATGGATGCCTGGTGGTTTGGATGTGGGGTTTTCTTTTTTATTGTATTAGTTTTGCTGCTTAGTGCTTGTAGAGAAAATCTCGTTTGGAGTGGATGGCTTGCAGATTCACTAGTTTATGATATATTCCTGCTTGACTGTAACTCTCAACTTTCAAAACAGAAAAATGCATTTAAGTGTAATTGAACGCCAAGGAGAATGTTCTTACAGCGGGAACCCTGTCAAAGGACATGTAAGCAGCTCCATAAACAACTAAATGAAAGCCTCAGACATGTCTTAAGACCCTTTAAGAAGAGCTTGACTAATCCCCTTTGATGATTTTATTAAGTACTTGTGGTTGATAGTGCCAACTGGCAAACTACTGCATTTCACCAACAGGCCAGGAAAATCACTTCCTCTCCCATATTGTTTTGTAGCTCCTAATGTGATTTGGATATTAGCAGTTTGATATAATAAATTAACAGGTACTGTAAACAAGAGTCTGAAAAGGTAAGACGGTAAAGATGTTTGCCCTTAGTGATCCTATTAGGAAAGAGAACAGGGGGAAAAAAAGACAAACAACAAAAGTTAAATTCATTAGGAGACATTTATTAAATTTTTGGTTGCCCTCAGAAAAAGGATGGTGTGACTGCTATTCGACTGGCACTTTAATGTGCCACCCTGTTATTTCAACAACCGTACTAGAGGCAGGAGCCTTTACAGAATTAATTAATATATTTTCTGAGGAGGGTAGGTGTTACTTTTCTTTCCCCTGAGGTTATAGTTCAAAGAGAATTTTCCTCTTCGTGGTAGCGACCTTAATTCTATTAAAACTTTAAATCTTCCCTTTTTATAAAAGTATTTTTTTTTCTCCTGAATTGTCCTTCTTGGTTTATGGTAATGATGAACAGAGCATCAGATCCCTGTTTCACAGCATCAGGTTTTAGAACTAAGCACGAGTGTTTCAGGACAAAGAAGACATCATACAAATCACAGACTGTCACTGCAATACTCCCCAAATTAATATGATTCTTACAGAAAGAGCCTGCAAAAACTCCCACTTGTTTATAACTTTGTGTGCTGATTAGAAAATGTTTGATTTTGCATTGATTTACTTTCCTGTAGTAGGATGGGGAGGAGAGGCACAAAAGCAGAAGGGAGAATAACAGAGTACATACATGTTTCATCACAATGTATATAAAAATAAATTAAAAAGAGGAGCAGATTTCTGAAAAATCCAAACATACTTAATATTTTTCCTGTATTTTTTTCCTATTCAGGATTCTCCACTTTGTCTCTAGCTGACCAGATGAGCCTTCTGCAGAGTGCTTGGATGGAGATTTTGATTCTCGGTGTTGTATACCGGTCACTTTCTTTTGAGGATGAGCTTGTATACGCTGAAGATTATATTATGGATGAAGACCAATCCAAATTGGCAGGCCTTCTTGACCTTAACAATGCCATACTGCAGCTGGTAAAGAAATACAAGAGCATGAAGTTGGAGAAAGAAGAGTTTGTCACCCTCAAAGCTATAGCACTTGCTAATTCAGGTTGGCAGAGTGGCATAATGGTTGCTACATTTTTAATATGTCATTTTAAATTTTTTTCCTCCTTAATACTTTCTGCATGCTTGTTTTAAACACAAGTTTAGAATAAGAAATTGCTAATCAGACCTTAGTCTAAAAGACAACAAACAAAGCAATTTAAACTAAGAAGAACTTTCCAGTTCTAATTGTGGAATGTTCCTAAGGGAACGGAGAATGCTCCACTGTATGATTTGGAGAGTATTTTACAGGCAAAGATCCCTTCAAATGAATATAGATGCTGTTCTCCTAAATCCATTCCATAATCCAGGCAAGCCTAATCATCGCAATTAAAACAAACAGAAAGGGTGCATGAGAATATGCAGTATATGTTCTCTTTAAGAGCAGCTACTGATTCATTTGGTAAGGTGAATTCAGCATATGGGAAGAGGGAGGAAATTCGTATTTAATCTCACATGGACCACACCTTATCTTAAGGATCCTCTGCATTTATGAGAACGCTTCTGGAAATTAAAAAAAAAAAAAAAAAAACAAACCACAAAAACACCTGTGCAGCAAGGGTTAAAAATCTCAGAAAAAAAAAATTTCTGCATTTGAATTTAAAAATGCTGAAGCAGTGAATACCGTCAGATAAGTAAAAATCGTTTGTGCTTTGTTGTTTTTCCTTTTGTGTCTCCTTAATGCTTTATTGTGGTCTTAAGTCCCTTTTAGCATTTGCATAAAGTTCACGATAGATCCCTCTTTAATGACGTGCTGATCATTAGATACCTGTGTGTCAATAACATGCTCTGATGCTATGTTCCATTGACAGTCACACCGTGCCCCTCCATCTGCTTTTGTTTTGACCCTATCTTTGAACTTTATCTTGGTTGCTGGCCAGTAGTTTTCCCTTTAATTACAAGAAGGAAACTGTCAATAAAATCTGTTAAATGGGATGCAATGAGTGGCTTGAATGGGCGGACGGCTATTTGTTCAAATTCTGCAGCATTCAAGGTATTGACAGTTTGTTTTCTGGGGCCATATGTGACGATCAATCTCAGGCTGGGCTCAGCCGCGCTGAAAAATGAAAAACCAGATTGCTTTTGCTTACTTGTGGATGACGACTTGTGATTTGGCGCGGTCCTAGTGAGATGAGACCTTCTGCCCAAATTGCCCCCCTGAGAGCCAGGACGCGTGACTGTTTTTAGAAATAATTTTTTAATTGATTTTGTAATTAACAGTTCATCTACAATATTGATGCATGAATCCTCAGATTGATAGGAGGGAAATTGTTTTCAACAATGAAGTTGTACTTTCCTATTTGTCTTTGTAATGTGATTTAGCACTCTGCATTTTTAATTGGAAATATAATTCAAAAACATGCAAAGCCAAAATGCTTATTAGTTTCTTTGTAAAATATTCTCCACCCCACTAACTCTGCCCTTAGTTTTAGACTATTATCTTATTTCCAGAATAAACAAAATGTTGAAATGCCTCTCAAAGATCAAAATTATTTTTAATTGAAGATTTATTTGTAATTTTTTGCCATAGTAAATAGACACTTGAGGATGCTGTGCAGCTACGAGGATTTTTCTCAGAATTGGTCATGCTTAATGGACAGAGCAAGAAAGTTATCTGGAATTAGGAGACTAAATTGAGAAGGTTTTTTTGTGTTTATTTTGATTCTGTAATTCAAAGACTGAGTTAGAAATATTTCTGTAGTTTACTTGATGAAAAGGATCAAGGGCTAGAATATAGGGATGTGGTGTTAAACACCACTTACACATATTTTTTTTTTCCCAAAAAAAGACATGCAGTGTTTAAGTAATAATGAAAGACTGCTGCCAAAAAAAGTTTAGTCATACATTGTGCATAGAGTGTATCAAGATCATCTGTAGCTTCATTAACTTCACTGGGAATTACAACCAGGATAATGTCAGAGATGAATCCAGTTCAGCATACTAAAATTCAGGGCACATTTAAGTGAAAACATTTCCTTCCCTCATCTTAAAAGAAATAAAAACGCTATTGAAAAATGGAGCTATTTCATGGAGGAGTTAAAAAGCAGCCCAGCCATTCAACTTCCCTTTCAGCAGAATGTTCCTAGTGCTGACAATCAACATTTCAGCTTCAGGTTGTACATGCAGCAGATACCAAACTTCTATCAGCTGTAGCTACATTAACCTGTAGGTGTAAAACAGCACCTGCAGAATTACAGCCCATCAAAGACTATCAGACCCCGAGTGTTTTAATTTACAAATGCTGCTAAAATTAAAGTAAAATTGAAACTAAAGTAAAATTAAAGTTTTTGTCTTTTTTGATAGACAAAACCAGAAATAACTTATTTTCACGTAACTATGAACTTGATTAATGTAAATGTAGCTATATCCGGAGAAAAAAAAAAGTGCCATTATAAAAATCAATCAGTTAGCAATTCACATTTTAATATATTTTGTTGCTACATCTGTTTTTTTCCCAAACTCCACTATTTATTTTTCCAGTTTAAAATATATTAGCCTTTTTATAGCTGTAGAGAGAATGGATGAAGCATAATAAGAAATCTTAGGCATTTCAGACATTTTTTGCCATATCCACACTGTCTAGAAAGATTCCCAGGTTGACTCTACTGTAAACAGTAGACAAAGATGGTTTTATAGCTCTGTATCGGTTAGTGATTTATGATACAGTGTCATAGTACTTTCCCTGCTGGCTTATAGAAACACGAAAAAGAAATTGTTGATTGTCTTCATATTGACTGTATTTTGTTTGAATAAATACCACAAGCTTTATTTTGGTCAACAAATCTCAGTATCATGGCATAAAAACACCCCAATTGCTAACTTTTCTTGAGGCCTACAGAGTCTACTTGTGCAGATCTGAGATAATCCTGCCATTTGGTTTCTAAAAGGTGGGGAGGAGGAGCCGTTTCTCAGGGAGATCCTCTGACAGCTGTTGTCAAATGTTCCCTTTGCAGGGTTGGCCTATGCTGCGCCGCTTCTATAAATTTCCAGAAATGCAAGACGTATCAACCCTGTAGATTGTCACTGATTTCAAATGGAGTGCATATAGCATCTGAAAAGTTTAAATACATATATAAGAGCACAATATTGAAATGTAGAGACATTTCAGTCCTGTGTACGTTAAAGTCTATGCAGGCATGATTTAAACAGTTAAGTTTAATATGTAGTGTTTAATATGGAATTTAGCAGGTTAGTTTTAAACATCTGCATTGATTCGATAGTAATTAATACAGCGTTTATGCCTGAACTCCAGAAAAGTCCCTCTCACCACAGCATTGCCCTCGTCCTGCCGGTATCATGTGGTCCTCCCTTCCTTCTTTACCTTCTCTACCCAAAAGCAGGTATAAAAGTGTAGGTACCTTGAAGCAGCAGGATGCAACTGCCCTGCATTCCACCTCACGCTGCCCAAATGAAGCAAGCTGGCACCAATGAGCACTTTGTTTACCCACGCAGAAAATCAACTTTGAATGGTTTCCAAAACATGCATGTACCAATTACTTCCTCGTGTGTAAGGGAAGGTGAAATATTTACAAAAGATGTTTGAAGTGTACACAAGTGCGCACACACGCACACGTGAACGCTCCGACACAGAAAAGCTGACCTGTTCGTCTCTTTTATGTTAGAAAATGCTTTCATGTATCGATTAGGTGATACTAAACAGGGAGTTGCAGGTGAGCAGTTTTTTGAAATTGCCTAATCAGTAAGGACTAAATTGTGCCTTCAGGCCAAATGTTGCAGAAGAGCTTAGGAGTCACAACTGAGACCAGGTTTTTAAGAGAAGCTCAGTTCCCATCTAAGACCTAACATAAGGAACTAGAGTGTCAAATACATTAGCACAATTGAAAATCTGATCCATGTGTATCTGCCTAATAGGCTGCTGGCATCTTGAAAAATCTGACCCAAATGTGGATGCTAGGCACTTAAAAGTATGCACTGTTGAAAATTTAATCTTAAACGCCAATACTAGCTGTCTCGTCTGTACCACCTGATGGAGAAAAGGACCTCTGCTCACCATCACAATTTCTCATCTCTCTTATTAACTCTCCTAAAAGAAACTCCAGCAGCCTTTCAGTACCGAAGGAGTGAGAATCAAGAAGTAGCTTGTGCGTTGTAGCATAATGAAGCACAGATCAACACTAACGCCAGTAAACTTTACACGATCATCTATCCTGTAAAAAAATTAGTTTGTTCTTACAACTTTCCAGCCACCTGAATGGTATAGTCAGAGCACTAGGCTATCACCATTAAATAATATTAGCATAATAAAAATTAATTGGTAGAACCCTATAAATCACTTATTCCCCAGGACATCATCTTTATTCCCAGTATAGACTGTGGCATATCTTGCAGCACAACGTACTATAATGCAAATTTTTTCATTTGATTTTATGTAGTCATCTTGTTAGTAGTAGAATTCATGATTAAAATGTATCTATTGTGAATAGGCATATATAATATATATATATATACACCTGTGTGTTATTGGTGTGTTACCAATGTTTATTTTGCCAAATATAAATAGCAAGGTCTGTTAACTCTTTCTTGTAATTCTCTATTGAGAGGGGTACAGCATAGGAACAATTTTGTAGAAAAGGATGTTGCCACTATGGTCAGAGTTTTTGTGTTGCTTGAACACAGTTTCTTCCTCATATTCCAATTTCATCTAATCAAATAGGTGGCAGTCACAATGCTTAGAGAAAATAAATAACTCTGCTACCATTTGCTTAATGCTATCATTAAGCAAATGCTAGCAGAGATAATTAATGGTTTAATTTTTATTGTTTTTTTCTTTTTCGAGTAGCTGGTCTAGTAACCGCATAACTTTGAGGTATTTCTCAGTTATGAAATAGGTAGATATTATTTATGTGTTAGCAGCCTGTGACTCACAAAGGGCAAGAAGCAAGGTCCATCCCTGTGGCCGGCGGGAAGACAGAGCTGCAGGTTCCTTACTGCTGGGGCAGGACTGCGCTGGGCTGCGTCTGCCAAGGCCAGCTCTGTGCTGACAGG